TTATAGTATAATGGAAATCTCATATTTGGTTAAGTGCTGCCTTGACCCTTTCCACTCATCTCAGAATTCATTCAACAAATAATTGCTTGGTAGGCCGGGGTGGGGGAGCACTCAGATTGAGTAGAATCCTTTAAAAATCGCATCATGCTTACACCCAGGCCACAATAATCCACCATCAAATCAGAATTCACAATAGACCTTAAATATTACCGATCCATCATAATGCGAGACCATAAATCTGGATCACAACTTCATTTGTCGTCTTGAATTTTACACGGCTGCATCCCATATCTTGAGACAAGTCTGTGATCACAGACTTAGCTGTGAAAATTGTAGATCTAGTGTGCTGTGGCATCACCGTTGCACAAAAATCTAAATTGGAGGCCAGGCTGTTCCTGAAGACACTCCCAAATTCACAAATTACCACTCATATCCGTGTCCACAGATTATAAAAGTTTGGGTGGCCACGTATCACTTACTGATTGGGAAGTTTTTTATGTACCTTAATCAAGAAGCATGTGCAGGTTCAGCTAGCTGGGTTACCAACAGACCTTGAGAAAAATGACCTGTCCCTGTAATAATGTGCAGAAATGGGTAGTTGAAGGTTTTTTTTGACATTATGGTAAGTAGCATTACTTGGTAACGAACATCCTGTTAAGTCTGTATTAGGGGGGGAGACATTTTTCCCCCTACAGGCAGTTTACTGTATATTACTCCGAGTTCTTGTGTTTTGGAGTAAAAATCAGCTATGACATCTCAAAATGACACCCTTTGCCTGCTTTGTTTTTCTTTGCCCTCGGACGTATACCCTGGTTTTGTCCACAATGAGGACCCTCTTCCAGTAATTATTATTATTATCCTATGGCAATGTGTAGTATAGCCAGGAGACCCTAAAACTGTCTGGCAGCTGCAGGTTCTAGCTCTTAGCATTATGTTCCACTATGTGGCAAGCTAGACTTGTTTTGAAGGCAAGAGACACTTTAGAGGTGGTTTGCCATTGGCTGCCTCTGCATCATGACCCTGGTATTCTTTGGAGGTCACCCATAACCCTTTAAGTAAGTTGCTCATTCTTTCATTTCTTTACTTCACTTACGCCTCACTTTTCTCCGCAATGGGGCTCCAAAGTGCCTTAAACATCAATCTCCCCACCTCCAGATTATCCTCACAACCACCACCCTGTAGGGCAGCTTGGGCTAAGAGAGCGAGTGGGCCAGCACATCACCCAGCAAGCTTCCACTGTGCAGCAGCAATTAGAGCCTAGGCCTACTGTACCTAGTCTAGCTCCATGCTAGTATACCTTTCGAAGTCTAAATTTACGAAAATGTGGTACTAGGGGTTTTTCCCCCTTAGACGTATGGCATAAAACAGGGACTGAAATGACAGCCCCCCAGATTGGAATAATGCTCCCTAGGACTGGAATGACAGTCCACTGAGTGGAATGATGGTCCCTGGGATTGGAATCAGTGGTCTGAGACTGTAACAACGAAGCCCCCCCCCCCCCCGGCAGTTCCTAAGTCTGGAATCGGTGCTCTGGGAGAGGAATGACAGTCCTCAGACTGGAATGATGGTTCCTGGGACCAGATAAACTGCTCTGGGATTCGAATGACGGCCCCTCAGAGTGGAATAATAGTCCTGTTGTTAGCCATTCAGTCATGCCCGAGTCTTGCCGATTCTATGGGCCAGCTCCCTCCATGTTTTCCGATCTTGTACTGTTTCTTTGAGTCGTTCCATGCTCAGACTGGTGTCGACTTTTATGGTGTCTAGCCACCATGTTTTTGCTGACCCGGTTTCCTTTTGCTGCTAACCAATCCAAGCATAATTGCTTTTTCTAGTGAGTTCTTCCGCATGACATGGCTGAAATAAGCCAGTTGCAGTTTTATGATTTTATGACGGATGATAGACGGATTTTCCAGGTGCGATCACACCGCAACATCTGGGAAGCGTACAGCTCCCATGGTGAACCTGAGGCTTCCCGCCGAAGATGCGGAGTTAAAAACTAGTACCTCTGAGGTACTAGTTTCCGGAAACCGCGGGGCAAGGGCTGGCGTCTGATCGCGTTTCCGGTGGTAGTCCGTGGCATCCAGCGCCCGCCCATGTCCCGTCGCAAACAGGTTTTGTTTTTTCCAAGTCTCCACAGGATGCGCACAAGCACACAATGGCACATACACACGAAGAGGAAAACGAAAGTTCCATTGCTCCGCAGAATCGCGCATGCCGTTGGTGAATTCATGCTGTGCCACTTCTTTGCAGGATCGTCGTGTGATTGCCACCTCGCCCCTACCCACGGGACCTCGACGGGACGTGTGATCGGGCGGCCGCGCGTTATTTTGCTCCGGGCCAAACTGCCACGCTTCCCCCCCGCATTTTACGGCCCGTGTGACCGGGACCTGAGTATTACATTACAACACCTCTGGAACATTACAGATCAGTACAGGCAGCCCTGCACAGTGGTCAGAGTTGCAGATTGATGTGGGGAGACCCAGGTTTGTATTCTCACTCTGCTGGCTGAGTGACCCCGGGCCAAATCTCCCCTTTTCTACCTAACCTACCCCACAGGGTTGTTGTGAGGATGAAATGGAGACTCATGGGCAGGGTCCCCAGCTTCCCTGGCAGGAACACTATGTTAAGAAATCTCTCACAATTATGCAGCCATAGCAGGCAGGAGGGAAGGAGGCGAATACCTCCAGCGCCAGAGACTTGTAGAGGAAGAGTCAAACTTTGGGGACTCACCCGTGCACCAGAGGGCCAAGGCAGCAGGAGGCAAGAAGCCTGGGCGAGCTGGGCTCCTCCATGCCTGGCAGAAGATGAGGTGCAGAGGCGAGAAGTGGGCAAGCAGAAGAGGCACTCAGCCAGCCGCACAAGCTGCGTGCAAAGAAACTCCAGCCGCCCCAAGCTTCAGGGCTGCCTCCTTAAAGGAGTGCGGAGGCCAGACTCGCAAATGAGAAAAAGCAAGCTCAGGGTTCGTGGGTCGCATTTTGGGCTGTAGAAGAGGAACCGGCTCTATTCCTAGAGTTCTCTCGAGTTCCTGCGCTTTTGGTTTTGCTTTTTGCCAATTCGCCTCCCAAGACTTCTCCAGGTGCTCCGGCCTGAGGGCTGCTGGGGGCGGGGCTCGAGTGCTCATTACTTGTGGAGTGAGGCTCAATGTCTCCAGTTGCTCCG